TCAAGGGGCTGTCATGAGGAGTCAGTGTATAAATGCTTAGCTCATTGCTTGCTACGCCTTAGTCCTCACCAAACGTGGCTGACACTGTACAGCACATGATAAGGGTCAGGCTCAGCTGGGACTGTTGCCACCTCTTGACAAATCAGTTAATCATGTAAATATGTCCTGGTTCCTTGCACTTGTACTTGAGGACATGCTATCCCTTTTAACAGAGCCCAGTATTTGCTTTGTCCCTCTCCCAACACCCCTCCCTCAGCCGTAGAGAACAATGCACAGAAGAGAGTTTTATTGTGTACTAGGAAAAGCTTTATAGCAGTTGACCCAATTACCAAATCACGATCAAACAAAATGCATAAGTCCGTCATGCATTTACTTTAAAAAATCTTACTCAAAGTCCTACCTGTCTTAAAGCTAATAACCCATCATATAGACCAACATTTTCAACCTGTTTACCTTGAAGACTAGTTTAGGAGGTTACTTTGCTGTGGGTTAAAAAGTCAATGGCGATTTCTTGGATGGCTTTGTGTTCATGGCATTTATTTGATTATACTTGCTGTATGTTTTTATATTTTTAGGAAATTATTGTTGCAACCTAAAAACAACAGGCCCTTAGGCCCGCAGTAGAAGCAATCAATACCAAATGACTTCTTTTCAAAGACCCAGGCTCCCTATACTTGCCCCCTTGGGCCATCTCCATAACTTGTTTGAATGGAATTCCATCGAAGTTCCAGGCCCTATTAGGCCCCTTCTCTTTCATAAAACATAAATCCAAGTCCTTCCCTCTCACTGCTGCAATTTTTGTGACTCCATACCTGGCCAGCACATAAAATAACTCCAGAATTCACTCATTACACTGGGACCAATCCTTTTCAGAATAAACAAAGTATGCAGGGACTTTCAAAAGTCTGCGGAGGGGCCGGCACTGTGGCACAGTGGGTTAAAGCCCTGGCCTGAAGCGCGGACATCCCATCTGGGCACCGGTTCAAGTCCTAGCTGCGCCTCTTCAATCCAGCTCTCTGCTATGGCCTGGGAAGGTAGTAGAGGATGGCCCGGGTCCTTGGACCCCTGCACCCACATGGGGAACCCAGAGGGAGTTTCCTGGTTCCTGGCTCCTGCTTCGGATCTGCTCAGCTCAGGCCATTGTAGCCATCTAAGGAGTGAACCAGTGGATAGAAGACTCTCTGTCTCTACCTCTCTCTGTAACTCTGTCTTTCAAATAAATAAAATAAATCTTTAAAAAAAAAGTTTGTGGAAATGCATACTGTGAAAAACACTATGTCTAAATTGTAAGATTTTTTACACCAAAATAAGTTTGTCCTTTAATTCCATTTTTTAAAAGATTTGTTTATTTGAAAGACAGAGTTACAGAGAGAGAAAAAGAGAGAGAGAGAGAGAGATCTTCCATCCACTGATTCACTCCCCAAATAGCCACAACAGCTGAAACTGGGCCAGGCCAAAGCCAGGAGCCAGGAGCGTCTTCTGGGTCTCTCATGTGAGTGCAGAGGCCCAAGTACTTGGGCCATCTTCCACTGCTTTTCCGGGTTCATTAGCAGGGAGCTGGGTCCGAAGTGGAGTGGCCGAGACATGAATAAGAGCCTGTGTGGGATGCCAGTGCAGCAGGTGGAGGATTAGCCTACCACCCTGAAAGTCATGGCTGAATTTACTCTAAAGAGGCTATTTAAATGCTTCTCATTGTTTCATGGCTTTTTCTTATGAAAACAAATGCAAGACATTTCTTTATGATTTCCTAAGTAGGAATATTTGTGAATACATTATTTTCCATTAAGAGCCATGTAAATTGTTAAATCCTTTTTTTTTTTTTGCTTCTAGAAGGTCTAGAGTCAAACTATTTTTTTAAAAATTTTATACAAGTTGCATGTGTTTCCTGTGTACAGATTTAAGAACATAACTGCCCCTCTACTCTCCCTCCCACCCAAGCTCCAACCCTTCTTTCTCCTCCCTCTCACATTCCCACTCTTAATTTTTACAAAGGTCTATTTTCAGTTTACTTAATGATCATATAGTTAACCTTACACTAAGTACAATGGTCAACAAATAATATGAAGGAAAAAAAAAAAACCACTGTTCTTCAACAGAAGAGACAAGGGCTATAAACAATCATCGACTCTCACAATGTCCATTTCTCTCCAATACATCACATTTTAGAGCTGGAGTCAAACTCTTGACCTACCTCCTGCCCAAGTAGGTAGGACATCCAACATATGTTTTGTGTTATTGCCTCTAGGGTCTGGGGGCTAATAAATAACACCCATTTTTCTCTGCCTGGGTTCCAAACCCATTGAGAAATACACACATAGACATGGAGATCTGAATGTGAGCCTCGCCCCCAGAACAAGTGAGGTGGGAGGATGCAGCCTGGGTGTGAGGAGAGCTGCACTGGTAATTCACCTTCCTGAGTTAGGTAAGCCCCCTCCCTGAGAACAGGTGCATGCACCTAGAGGGGACACCTTCTCAGCCCCAGTCCCAGAGACACACTCAAATGCTCAATCCCTGGTGCTTGGCTTAAGAGGGACTGGGGCAAAAGGCCAAGAGTGCAGCCCCACGGAGATCCTTCCACGTGGGGAGAGAGAAATAATTACCCCCCAACACTGACCATTCTCCTCCTTTTTCTGCCCACATCCTCCCTTTGCTCGGTTCTCCAGCTTCGTAGTTAATAGTGGCATATAGATTTTGTCAAATTCTATAGAATCTTTTTGGAGCAGATAGGGCCAAATAATTTAATGAATGGATTTATTTTAAAATCACAGGAATCTTAAATTCTTTGTGGTAGGGGGGTGGGGTATGAGATGATAAAACTCCACATATTTTACAGTGCTTGGAGAGGAAGAGATGGTAGAAAACTGGAAGTTAGTGAATTATTTTTCCTCTGCCTCTCAGTGTTTAGCTTGATACTGTTTATGACTTGTCTTTCAAAAGATTTTGTTTGCTCTCATAGAAAAACACAAAGGAATGTCTATACTTAAGGCCATGAACGTGACCCACCCCAGATTAGCAAGGGTTATATCTGCAGAGACGACAGACAGGATTAAATGTTCCATTGTGAACCCATTTTAGAAGAGTCTCTGCCAAGTTCCTTAACAAAAATTCTAGAACTGGTATAACCAAGTGTGTGTTACGCCTTTCAAGAGAGTCAGTTTGAAAACCAGCACCCTTATTTCAGTGAGGCTGCCACCCAGACAATTTGTTTAATTCCTTCTTTAAAATTGCTACTGGAGCCTTCAGAAAGTGTATGAAATATCTTCAAAAAGGAAATTCTTTGTACTTTCTTGTGAATCTGATTTTTGAAACAGCCGTTTGGAGCTATATTTCGTAAATTATGCACCTACTCAAATTTGATGGCAAAAGCTTTAGTTAAAAAAATAAAGGGGCAAATCATGGTCTTGGCTTTGGCAGTGGTTTCTTATATAATAACACCATAAGGCAAGTGGCAAGAGAAGAAAATAGATGAAATTATCTTCATTAAAATTAAAAACTTTTGTCTATCAGAGAAGACTATCAGAGTGCAAAGACACCTATGGAGTGGGGAAAATACTAGCAAATCATATTCCTGATAGATTTACAAAGTCTCCAGAATGTATAAAGAACCTCTACAACTCAACTACCACAAAGCAAAGAACCTAATTCAAAAGTGGGCAAGGACCTGAATAGACATTTCTCAGAGAACGTGTAGACATGGCCAACAAGCATGTAAAAAGACCATTAGTCATTAGGGAAATGCAAATCAAAACCAGAAGGAGACATTACTTCACACTCACTGGGATAGCAGTAACTACACACAGAGGAAAGTAACAGTTGTAGGAGAAGATGTAGAGAAGTAGGAATCCTCATGCATTGTAGCTAGGAATATAAAATAGTGCAACCACTATGGAAAACAGTTTGCAGTTCCTCAAAAAGTTCTTAAATACAGTCATCCTATGACCGAGCAATTCTACTCCTCCACTTATACCAAAGGAATTGGTAATAAGAATGCAAACAGATACTTGTATGCAAGTGTCCATCATAACAGCCAAAAAGTGAAACAGGCCAAGCCATAAAAAGGAATGATGTCCTGATATAACATAGATGGGCATTAAAAACCCAGTGCATAATGAAATAAACTAGACCAGTAAGGACAAATATTGTATGATTCCACTTATAGGAGGTACTTACAGTAGGCAAATTCATAGACACCAAGTGTATTACACATTACTTGGGGAGAGAGGGGAAAGACTGCATTATTATTTAATAGGTTCATAGTCTTTGCCCTGATAAAAAGGGTTTGGAAATGATGGTGATGATTGTTCAACATTGTGAATGTCATTAGCACCCCTTGCTTGTAAGTTAATGTTATCTATATAACTTTATGTTAATAAGCATTGAATATAAAAACATAATATTTTAGGTGACTAAGCATTAGTATAAAATTTAGCAGGCTTTAATTATATATATTTTACCACAAAATAAAACATTGTAAAATTTACAATAGTCAAAATTATATTTAAGAAATCTAACAATCTTTCCTCTATCTGTTGACAAATGCATAGTGAATTACACTTTCTGTGAAGTATTTTAAATTTTTTACAAACACCATGACCACTAGAAAGTAGTGACACAGTGCTGTGTTCCCCCTTCTGAAGATAAGACCCTTTTGTTCATCTAACTAGAGATACTGAAAAAAGAGGGAAAATGGATATATTTTTGCAATTCAAAAGCTTATATAACTTAGAGTTAGCAAGTGAGTTATGATCAAATCACATGGTCCACACCCCATGAAAAAGAAAAATAGGTTGTTTAGGTTTGGTCAATGGACATCGATATTAACACCTAAACTGTGGACCGAGCTTTCCAAATATTCCCAGAGACCCTCTCTTTCCCCTTCTTGCTCAGATACTTGTTTTGTTTCGTGGGTGCTGCCAGCACCGTGCAGGTAATGCAGCTTATTCCTTCCAAGCTAAAGCATTGCGGACGATGGCTGATATGCAACCCTGGTTCTTTTCCAGAACATAGGAAACTTGGCAACATGACTGTGACCGTGAAGAAGACCGTGCCCTCTCCCGAGGCTGTGCAGATCCTCTACCAGCGAATGAGATACGAGTACGAGTTCTACCATTACATCAAAGAGCAGTTCCACCTGCTGAAGCGCAAGTTTGGACTCAAGTCTCACGTCAGCAAGCCCGCTCTGAGACCACAGTTCTTTATCCCATCTCCACTGGAAACCGAGGAGCCGATTGACGATGAGGAGCAAGACGATGAGAAGTGGCTAGAAGATATTTATAAGAGGTGACGCCAGCACCGCGTGGCCTCCGTGGTTGCATCTCCCTATTCCAGAAGGTCTTTTGTTAGGGGAAGAAAAGTCCTTGGGACTAAATTACTGCTCATCTGCATTTCTCAGAGCAGATCATTCCCACTTGTGGGGCTCATTGGGAGATGCCCGGTTTTGCGGGTTTTATTTGTTTAATTTTATTCTGTGTTTTTTTCCTTGGTTCCTTGGATCTTTCCCGGGTACATTAGAAGGCTCCGTCACAGGCATCTTGTCATTGAATAGCTTCCCACCCTACCCCAGTTTGATGTGAGAAGGGGAACAAATGCAGCTCACAGTCCAGGGCCCTAAAACTTAGCATTTGTAAAACAACTTGGAAAAATATTCCCTCGGTCATAGGATGCACCCAGCCTAGTATATTTCAGCAGAACCACAAAACCACTCCAGAGACCAGGGGGTCTATTCTAGAAGGATCTAGGAGGAGAAGGTAAGACAGATAAGGACACCAAGAGGGGGGATAGCCCTGGTTAAGTGGTTGCCCGACCTGGGTGGAATTTGCCTCTATAGAGGACATTCGCAGCAAGAGCAGTGTTCTTGTCTCAACAAGAGCCAGTTGGCTTGTGCTGTGTCCCCGACCGATCAAGGTCAAAGTCAGTGTATGGCAAGCTCCTTGAGACCTTCCATTTGCAAGCACCGTTCTGACAGGCATCAAAATAGCACAGCAGTGGAAAGCATTTATTTGCTGGTTGAGGAAGAAAGTAGGCAAGACAGATAAACTCTGGGGGCATGTGGCTTCAGGAAAAGGGTGTGGTCTTGACCTTTGTGCTCAATCCAAAACATCTTCCTCCCCAACATTGCTTTAAGGGGGAGTTCCGGAACCAGTTTAGCTCTGGCATCTGACACCTGTGGCAGAAGTCTGATGTGCAAGCACCAACGGTGCACAAACCATCAGTGCCACCCCTGGCCAGTACTGCCACTGGGGACTATAGTACCTGCTAGTCCCCTACGAGGCACCTGCTTTATGTAAACAGCAGTCCTGAGTTCTGTGCAAGCAGCAAAACCGCAGTCCCTCTGTATGCAAACTGCCCACTCCCAGGAACCCTGAGCAGGGCCATCAAAGAGGAAGGGCAAAAGTAAGAAACCGAAGCTGCCCCTGGTGCAAGCCAAGTAGCAGTTGGGCAGTTCCATTGCCCCAAAATATCTCTTGTCTCTACCGGTCAATGATGCCTTGATCCAATCATCAGAAACCTATTTGTTTGCGTTCTGAAAGATTTTTACCTTAAAAACAAAATCCTGAAAACAAGTGTTCTCCTTAGCAGCCAGCTGAGGGGCTGTGGTGCCATGGCAGCAGCAGGAGAGTCACTGGCAACCAGTTTTGTCTACTCTGTGTTTTTCCCCTAGAAGCAGCCCTTCTATGGCACTGGCGGAGTTGAGTTGGGGCACCCCATAGTAAAGAAGACATTGGCTTTACACAAACCACGCAGGTGCCACTTTTCAGATACCAGTAAGTCTCTCTAGGATCTTTTCTTCTTTTGCTAAAATGGGACTGTAGCCAAGATAGAAGGCAAGACCTTTGGAACCGGTCAAATGTGTGCCAGAGCTCCTTTGTCACGCGATGCGTTAGGACGGCTGCAGCCCTCGGGGGTCCCAGGAAGGCTGGGGCCGCAGGGACACAAGGTCCAGCGCCTGGGCCCTTGTGGGCCTCCATGTTGCCTCAGCAGCCTGGGGTGGGGAAGTGAGCAGGGGAAAGGTTCCTAGAGGAGCAAAGTCCTTTGTCCCGTTCATGGAGACCAGGGCCCTATCCTTAGGCACCCTTTGAAAGACAACCTGGAGAACAGCTGTCACCTTTGAAACAAATGCAAGAACTGCTGCCTGGTACCTTGTGAGTCGTTCCCAGGAAACGTCATATACAGCATGAGGATTCGGTGACTCGCGTGCGGTCCCACCGGACGCAGAGTTGGCCAAGCGTTCTCCACTGCTGTCAGGACATCGGGACGGTCGGTCCTTCCAAAACGCCTTCCCCCGTTGCAGGTCCGGCCGCGCCCTTTCTCCTGTGTGTTCAGAGCTGCTCCTTTCCAGCAGCGATCGACGCCTCCCCACAGCAGAAGATGCGCTCAGTGACTGACTGGTGGGGACGGCGGTCGATGTGTCCCAGCAAGCAGCCTCGAGGTCCTGAGAGGCGAGGCACCTCATCCGTTTCTGTGGCACACGTGACAGCATTGCTTTGGCCCTGAGCCCAACCCAGTTTGTACTTCATGAAATATATTGTACATTTTACATAGTTTAATTTAAAAAAAAATGCATTGTAAGCTAGTTGATCTCTGACTGCCTTATTTATTATAACCTTTCAGCACATTCCAAGGTTTTAGTTACTCAGGAAGGAGTTAATTAAAATGATTTTATTTTGGTCTGATGGATGTTTTTGAAAAGGAAAATTATTATTAGGAGCCCTCAGCCTACTTTTCCTTGAGTGCTGTAAAAGTGCTTGTAAACCCTTTTTTTTTTTTAAGAAGAAAGAAAAAATCGTGTTTGACATTGATGGAAATTCAAAAATATATATGGAACTGAAACATTTGCTTAGCTAAAATAAAAACAATCTGTGTTTGAGGTGAAGTGTTCCTTAACTTATTCCTTACCCATATAAATAAGTGAATGCAGAGAAGTTGAAAACCTCTCCATTGTATTGATAGCCGGAACGAAAAGTGCCTGCAGTGCCTGGGAGCCCCTTAACTGGGAATCTTCTTAACTGGCCAGGCTTTTCTGGTCCAGACGTGGTTTTGAAAAGATGGGTGATTAAACATCCACTGACCTTGATTCCTTCACATACATGACACCCAACAAAGTTGATGGGAAAAACGAGCTACTCATTCATTCCTCTTGTTGTGGCTGTGGGATGGCAAGCAGCCAACTGCCGCTGGGTTGGCTCCATGGGTTGGTTTGGGGTGATGGTCACCCGTCTGTGATACCAGGGGTCCACACTCCATGGCGGCAGCAGTGTAGGAGACACAGGCTGTGCCACGGGGTTGACTGTGTAAGCTGCTCTGCTTCCCGCACATGGAGAGCCCCAAAGGCTCCAAGACTCTCACCCCTCAAGTGTGTGCCCTTGATCCAGAAAAGCCCTCCCTCGGAGAGTCCACTGCTGTGGCCAAATGGAACTCACATCCCGCGCTTTCTAGATGTCAGACACCATATTCCAACCCCCTGCAACTGTGAGAAAGACAATCAGAATCTTAATATTAAAGAAAAACCCCATAAGAATCTGAGAACCTTAAACAGCAGGTGGTGACTAGTGACTCTTTTTTTTTTATTTTATTTATTTGAGAGGGGGAGATTGATTGATTGATTTCCTATCTCCTGATGCGCCCAATACCCACAACAGTCCAGCGTGGGCCAAGCCCCAGAGCTGGGAGACAGGAACTGAGTCTGAGCCTCCCTTGTGGGTGGCAAGGACCCAAGTACACGGACCATTGTGCACTGCCTCCCAGGTTGCACATTGGCAGGAAGCTGGGGTCAGGAGCAGAGGCGGGACTCGATCCCAAGCACTCCAAGATGGGATGTGGGCTTGCCAAGCAACGTCTTCACCTCCAGACCAAACACCCACAGGAGGCTGCCCTTTTTTAAAATCCAGTTTGTGCTGGCGCCGCGGCGGTGCTGGCACACCGGATCCTAGTCCCCGTCGGGGCGCCGGATTCTGTCCCGGTTGCCCCTCTTCCTGTCCAGCTCCCTGCTGTGGCCTGGGAGTACAGTGGAGGATGGCCCATGTCCTTGGGCCCTGCACCCGCATGGGAGACCAGAAGCACCTGGCTCCTGGCTTCAGATCACTGCCGTGCGCTGGCCAAAGCACACCGGCTGCAGCGGCCATTGTGGGGTGAACCAACAGTAAAGGAAGACGTTTCTCTCTGTCTCTCTCTCTCACTGTCTACTCTGCCTGTCAAAAAAAAAAAAAAATCCAGTTTATTCTTCCATGACCCAATCAAATGATATTTGTGAATGAACTTAAAAGGCAAAAGACCTAAACGAAAACTGTCCCACATAGGATGTTGTTTGTCTGGCTGGAAGCTCTTTAAGAATGTGTTGGACCCGCAGGCCCTAGATGAACTTCACAGACTAGGGCAGTATTTCCTCCCAGACAGACTGGTTAGCCCACAGCCACAGGGAACAGCGGCCTCCTGGGTCAGAGCTGTGCAATGCCCTTCAGCATACACAGGGTTTATTTCAGGAAAGTGACTTACTGCACATCTGATGGTAAAGAAACTTGCAAAACAAAAGCATTTTGAATATCTTTCTCCGGAAAAGTCTGTTTTCAACTAAAACCAATATGAAGAGTCTACTAAGAGAAACACAGGGCACGTGTTTCACAGCGCAGAAAAGTCGCTGTCGTGGGACTCAGGCTGCTGTAACAAGGCACCACAGAGTGGGCGCTTAACCAACAGTAACCTGGGTTCTCACCCTTCTGACCCTATAAGTCCAAGATCAAGTTGCTGGCAGGTGGAGTCTCCTTGGCTTGCCGATGGATGGCGCCTTCTCCCTATGTCTTCCCAGGGTTCTCTCCTCCGGGTGTCTACCTGTCTCTGCCCCACCTACTCTTCTTAAAAGCATTAGGGCCCACCCTAAAGACCTCATTTTAGCTTAATTATCTCATTAGAGTTCCTCTCTGCAAAGACACATTCTGAGGGACTGGTTGAGACTTCAGTATACGAATTTGGGGCAACATGATGCGGCCCATAATACCCAGGTGACAGAAGAAAGACAACTCCAGCTGGGAATAAAGCAAGCCTCCCATCAGACCCCTGGAGCTGCAGCCAACTCAGCGGTCATGGCAAAAGCCAGAGGGAAGACACACACATCTCATGTGCGAACTTTTTCCATCGAAGGTTCACTTTGGAGCTTCTACCAAATTAAAACTTCCAAATGACAAGGAGACAGAAAAAGTCCATCTACTGATCTGGCACCTGGAGTGGAAATGAGGACACATCTAGCCCCGCCCAGTACCACCTGCCACCTGGAGACTGACCTGGGAGTCAGGGCCGCTGGATCCACCCCTTCACTTAAGTTCTCCGGGTCAGATGCCAAAGCTGTATGTTATTCTAGGCCTTTCTCCCTACTCTAAGGACACAGAGAATTTCTTGTTTCTTGATGATCAGGTTTGGGCTGGGTTTGCCCATCTCAGATAACAGACTTATTTCTCTTAAAGACAAAATGAAGAAGATTCATATCCCACTTTTTATGAGACATTTCCAGTGGACCCGCCTCAAAGCAATGCAGTCAAAATGCAGCTCATAAAACCAGGGGAAGTCGAGTGCTGGCGGCCCGGGCAGAGCAGCACTGGAGGCTACGCAGGCCTGCTCGCGGGCTGTTCCCTCACTGGAGAATTCCTTTCTGCCTAGGGCAGGCTTGGCTCACTGCTCCCAGCTCTGCCGATTCCCCAGGAACACCCAGGCCCACAGATGT